GAGAGAGAGAGAGAGAGAGAGAGAGAGAGAGAGAGAGAGAGAGGTTCACTACTGCAGGCCAGAACTCCAACAAACATCTCATGCGAGACAGACATTGGCCCGCAGTAGTGAACCTCATGCTGTTGGACAGGGAAAGACGCAGCGACAGAGAGCGGTTCACTACTGCGGGCCAGAACGACAACAAACAACACCGGTTGACACTGATATGGCAAGCAGTAGCGAACCACAAGTAGTTGGAAACGGAAAGACGCAGCACCAGCGAGAGGTTCACTACTGCGGGCCAGAATTCCAACAAACATCTCATGTGAGACAGACATTGGCCGGCAGTAGTGAACCTCATGCTGTTGGACAGGGAAAGACGCAGGGACAGAGAGCGGTTCACTATTGCGGGCCAGAACGATAACAAACAGCACCGATTGATACTGATATGGCACGCAATAGTGAACCACAAGTAGTTGGAAACGGAAAGACGCAGCATCAGCGAGAGGTTCACTACTGCGGGTCAGAACTCCAACAAACATCTCATGCGAGACAGACATTGACCCGCAGTAGTGAACCTCATGTTGTTGGACAAGGAAAGACGCAGGACCAGAGAGCGGTTCACTACTGCAGGCCAGAACGACAACAAACAGCACCGGTTGACAGTGCTATGGCACGCAGTAGTGAACCACAAGTAGCTGGAAACGCAAAGACGCAGCACCAGCGAGAGGTTCACTATTGCGGGCCAGAACTCCAACAAACATCTCATGCGAGACAGACATTAGCCCGTAGTAGTGATCCTTATGTTGTTGGACAGGGAAAGACGCAGCGACAGATGGCGGTTCACTATTGCGGGCCAGAACGACAACAAACAGCAGCGGTGGACACTGATATTGCACGCAGTAGTGAACCACAAGTATGTCAATATGGAAAAAGGCAGCGAATATTATAGACAGAAAAGTGTGGACGAAGAAGTTGTAATACAGACAACAATAAACATACATAATACTCTGTGTGTGTGTGTGTGTGTGTGTGTGTGTGTGTGTGTGTGAGAGAGAGAGAGAGAGATCACGCGTCCCTGACCACCCACGCAGCCACGATTTGACATCTTGTGTAGAGAGTTCTTAAGCGGTCGTTGATGTGAAGTCCTTTCCTGCAATGCACACATTCGTTATTCCCTCCATGCTGGTCTGCGTTCGTTACGACTTGTACCATTATCTCTTTGATGTACGATATGAGATGGAACAGACAGTCCGCAACCAGCCTCGCTATTTGTCGCGAATTCGCTTTTGCAACGAACTTTTGAAATGTGTCCGTCGTCATAGGCAGCGCGACAGATTCTGCATCAGCACAAGGTGCTTTGCTAGCGACGACACATGGGAAGTTGTGACGAACGTGGTGACAATTCAGTGTGGCAACATCGGTGCATACCAGCAGGGCATGCAGCGCAGGCGCGCAGTTCCCGACAGTGGTTCCAATTCCTATGGAGGTTTGCATTGTTGTGTCGATTTCTTCACCTGCCTTCGTCCTTTCACCTTCTGCACTTCCCATGACAACTTCGTTCGCACAAGTCATCGTCATTTCTCCATCACACAACCTACCTCGTGTGTGTTGCAGGGCATCAATGACGTCCGAGCAACCGTTGAACAGAGACGTCATATAACAAGGAAGGTCATCCTTACCAATCGCGACACCCTCATCACAGAGACCGTACCCGTCTACGGTTTCCTTACAGTGGCGAATACAGTCTGCTGCGAAGGCCAAGATGTCGACGACACTGCGTGACGAAGCAGTTAGCGAACCCGTATTATATTCTTGGCTATCATACGATGCCCACCCCTCCTTCAGCACACACTTCTCAGGGTTGCCACAAGATGCGACATCAAGTCCTTGTGATTCCCTGTGAGTTCTCTTTGTGACGTGGGCGGCGAACCGATTCAAGACCGCGGTGCGCCTGCGTCTTTCACCATCCAACCATGTCTGGAACTCGTCAAACGTGGTGGTCTTCATTTCAGCTATTGCCTTCAGTCTGGCAGTCATGTCCTCCCTCAGACGAGTTATGTCTAAACATTTTGGATCGTCTAGCAACAACCAGAACACAGTGAACTTCCTGTGTTCCGCAGTTTCTGTCATTTCTACGAGCAGTGACTTAATACGGCCTAGTTTGTCTGACATCTGTCTCGCCAATTGTTTCTGATTATGTACCTCGTCTGTTAGCCTGTCTATATGTTCTCGCCGCTTCTCTACTATCTGACCCCAGTTCCGGTTCATCTCAGTCGTCTTCTCTTCTTTGGCCCCCAGTAGTAGAAAGTAATCTACCGTTGCATCACACTCTTCGCCTAACTTTCTCTTCTGTCTGGTTTTGGCCAATCTTGACATCTGGAAATATATGTACATACAGAGAAATACAGAGAGATAGAGATAGAGATAGAGATAGATAAATAGAGAGAGAGAGAGAGGCAGAGACAGACCCTCACTACTTCCATAGTTGTTATCAGCGGGCGCCTACCAAAGATTGGTTATATGTATGTGGCAACATACATTGTTATTTATTACTGTACATCTGTGTTTTCCCCGTACATAACTCGATATAACAGTGGACAACACAACTTAACAAATACAAAGCAGACCATTCTTTTCAAACGCATCTGTCGGAATGAGGGAGTGAGAAAGATAGAGATGCAGGAAAGAAAGAATGGAGAGAGAGAGAGAGAGAGAGAGAGAGAGAGAAAGAAAGAGAGAGAGAGAGAAAGAGAGAAAGAGAGAGACGCCACAAACAATGAAAGAAAGAACCGTCCGACAAAACAAAAATGTTTGGAGTTCGCTATTGCGGGCCAAAATCGCACTTATGTACCTCGTTCAATGGGTTCGTGGTCCGCAGTAGTGAACTCTCTCTCTCTTTCTCTCTCTCTCTCTCTCTCTCTCTCTCTCTCTCTCTCTCTTTCTCTCTCTCTCTCCCCCTCTCCCTCTCTGATTCTCTGTCTCCCATTTGTAAGAAATAGCAAAACAAAACAAAAGGAAGTAAGAAAAAAAACAAAGAAAGAAAAAAGAAGAAGAAAATAAAAAAGAAAGAAAGAAAGGATAGAGAGAAAGAGAGAAACAAAGAACAAAAGGAAGGAAGAAAGGAAGGAAGAGAGAAAGAAAGAAAGAAAGAAAACAAGAAAGAAAGAAAGAAAGCTGAGAAAGAAAGAAAGAAAGGAACAAAGAAGAAGAAAAAGAACAAAAAGAAGAAGGAAAAAAAAAAAAGACGAAGAAGGAACAGGTGAGTCTTCAACCTCAC